GACAAGTCTCATAAATAGCTCCATGCAGTTGAATATTGTTTCCCCAGCATGACATAAGATGTTAAAAATTGGCTTTTCATTCTGATTCACCTATTGGATCTCTTATTTTAGCTGTGGCTGTGTAGTTGGTTATATTCTACCCTGTGGAAAAGCAGGACTTCTTTGTATGGCATGTAAGATACCCCGCCAGGGTCTCCTGCTTTATTTCCTACCAGTACCTCCTTCACTCTCGCCGGTCACCAAAGCAACTCGGATGACCCACACGACAGGGATCTCTAAGCTTTGTTTGTGCCATTTTCCTGTTGGGAGTGGGCTTTTCTGCCCCCGGCCGAGTCCTCCTAATGCTAGTAATAAAGGTCAGATGCCGCCTTTGGCCCTTCCCTCTGCCCAGACAGTCTGCTCATTTCCTCCTTGCAGGCTGCAAAGCACAGCGATGGAGCTAGGCTTGAGCTCCGTTGTCCAGGTTCTCATGCTGGCTCAGCAACATACTAGCTCTGAAATCCTTTTTTTTTTTTTTTAATTGACATAAAATTCATAGGTCACCTTTTTCACCATTTTAAAGTTTACAAATCAGTGGCTTTTAGAGTGTTTATAATCTTGTAAAGACATTGCCATTACCTAATTCCAGACCATTTTCATCGTTCTAAAAAGAAACTCTTCGTGCATTAACAGATACTCCCCATTTTCCCTCCCCCCGCCAGCCCTTACGGCTACTTACTGTCTCTCTAGATTTCCCTGTTCTGGACATTTCATGTAAATGGAATCATGCAATATGTGTTTTGTGTCTGGCTTGTTTCACTCTCCATAATGTTTCAAGATTTATCCATGTGGTAGCATGTATCATTAACTACATTTCTCTTACGTATGGATAATACCGCATTTCGTTTATCCGTTCACCAGCTGATGGATATATGGGTTCTTAACAGTTTTTGGATGTTATGAATAACACTTGTGTACATGTTTTTTTGTGAACAGTATGAACATATGTTTGCACTTCTCCTGGGTATATACTGAGGAGTGGAATTGTTAGGTCATGTGGTAACCTGTGGTTGAACTTTCTGAAGAACTGCCAGATTATTTTCCAAAGTAGCTGTGCTGGTTAACATTCCCACCAACAGTACATGAAGTTTCCAAATTCTCCACATCCTTGTCAACACTTGTTGCTGTCTTTTTGATTATAGCCATCTTAGTGGGTATAAAATGATATTTCATTGTTATTCTAATTTGCATTTCCCTGATGACAAATGACATTAACTTCTCCTATGCTTATTGGCCATTTGCGTTTTTTCCTTGGACAAATGTCTATTAGATCTTTTGCCCATTTTTAAATTGGGTTTTTTTTAAATTGTTGAGTGTAAGAATTCTTTATATATTCGGGATTCTGGTTCTTTATCAGATATATGATGTGCAAAATATTTACTCCCATTCTGTGGATTACCTTTTTTTTTCCTTGATAGTATTTTTTGATGCACAAAAGTTTGTAATTCTTAGGATGTTCAGTTTATTCTTTTGTTTTTTTGTACTTTTTGTGTCATGTTTAAGAAGCTAGCCTAATCCAAAATCATGAAGATTTACATCTATATTTCCTTTTAAGAGTTTTATAGTTTTAGCCTCTATATTTAGGTCTTTGATCCATTTGGGCCTTTTTTTTAAGATTTTTATTTATTTATTGAGAGAGAGAGAGAATGGTAGAGAGAGAACATGAGAGGGAAGAAGGTCAGAGGGAGAGGCAGACTCCCTGCTGAGCAGGGAGCCTGACGCGGGACTCGATCCCAGGACTCCAGGATCATGACCTGAGCCGAAGGCAGTCGCTCAACCGACTGAGCCACGCAGGCGCCCTGGGCCTAACTTTTGTATGTGCTGTGAGATAGGAATCCAACATTATTCTTTTGTATGTTTATATCTGGTTGTCTAGAACCATCTTTTCTTTTTTTCTAAATTTATTTATTTTAGAGAGAGCGAGAGAATGAGTGGGACGGACAGAGGGAGAGGGAGAGAGAGAATCCCAAGCAGACTCCGCACTGAGTGCAGAGCCCAACGCAGAGCTCTGTCTCATTACCTTGAGATCACGATCTGAGCCAAAACCAAGAGTCAGACGCTTAACTGACTGAGCCACCCAGGCGCCCCAGCACCATCTTTTGAAGAGACTGTGCTTTTCCCATCGAATGGCCTTGGCACTCTTGTTGAAAATCACTTGGCTGTAATGTGAGGGTTTATTTCTGGACTCTCATTCTATTCCATTGATCTGTATGTCTTCTCTTTATGCCAGTTTCACACTGTTTTGATTACTGTAGCTTTGTAGTAAGTTTTGAAGTCGAGATGTGTGAGTCCTCCAGTTTTGTTCTTTTTCCAAGATTGTTTTGGCTTTTCACGGTCCCTTGAATATCCATATGAATTGAAGGATCAGCTTGCCCATTTCTGGGGGGGAAAAAGGCTGTTAGAATTCTGATAGGAATTGTGTGAATCTGTAGATCAATTTTGGGGAGGATGGCCATTTTAACAATGGTAAGTCTTCCAACCCATGAACACAAGGTGTCTTTTCATTTAAGTCTTTAATTTCTTTCAACAATGTTTTGCATTTTCAGTGTGCAAGTCTCTCATTTCCTTGGTTAAATGTATTCCTAAGTATTCTTTTTGATTTTATTATAAATGGAATTGTTTAGCTCTGGAAGTTTTAGAAATTCTTAAAACTTTCAAAGCATTAGTTTCTGTGCATGCAAAATGGAATTTATGTTGAGTACCTACCTACTTCACCAGTTGTTGTGAGTTAATTCACATAAAGGGCTCAAGTAGGCCTGATGGTTCAAGCTAAACGTTAAATATTAGGCTGCGAACTCTCCGAGGAGTGGGATTTTGTCATTTTTTTGAGACACCTTCTTCCTCCCCCTGTTCAGGTAGCATTTAGTGCTGTGCCTGTTGGTACTGAGGGAATGTAGAAGGGTGGGAAAATTGTACTGCGTCATCAATTTCAGTTAAGTTTGAAAGTTAATGTGGATTGGGAGTTAGGGACTCTAATTCCTCCTAATACTTCATATTTTGATAGGGCTTCTTTTTTTATACATGTAAATAACCCTTGTACAATAATTTTACCACCTCTTAAGATAGTGAAGTTACTTTTCAAGATGGTTGAATGGACCTTGGTTTATTAAAGGAGTCAGAAAGCAAGAATTCATTGCCTTGGTGAACTCAAAGTCCTTTATATGCCAAAATTGTAAATGAAATTAAAATGTCTTAATTTATAACATTGTAAGCCACAATATTAAAGAACCGAGTAGTTTCAATTGTATATTAATATGTAGCATGAAAAGCAATCTTAGGATTATAAAATACTGGGGCGCCTGGGTGGCTCAGTCGTTAAGCGTCTGCCTTCGGCTCAGGCCATGATCCCAGGGTCCTGGGATTGAGCCCCACATCGGGCTCCCTGCTCCGCGGGAAGCCTGCTTCTCCCTCTCCCACTCCCCCTGCTTGTGTTCCCTCTCTCGCTGTGTCTCTCTCTGTCAAATAAATAAATAAAATCTTTAAAAAAAAAAAGGATTATAAAATACTTCCTTTTTCTGAGTACTGTAATTTCTAAAATTTGTATATCAGAAAAATATATAAATGGTATTTATTTTATGAGTGTAAAACAGAGAAAGCTTTAAACTTGACATGGTAAACAGAGCATTGGATCTCTCACCCTGAGTTTAACAGCTCAGTTATCTAAGAACTTGTGTTACTTCTTCTGCCTCTCGAACAGAGTCAGGGTAAGAGTGCCTTTGTTCTGTTTAGCAGCCAGGATTAACTATTAATGATACTCTGCTGTGGTGAGAAATGTGTAGACAGTTTTTAGGGATTAGTTCCATTACATTTCATTGCTGATAGAGGGAGGGCATTGATGGTGACGCTAAAAAAACTAAGCATTTATTTAAACATTCATATTTTCACATTTTAGTGCATTTTTGTATTTAGTTGTCCTGAAATTCCTCAGTATCAGAAGAACAAAAACAATGGTAACAAATACTGTCTGATGCACTATGAAGTCTGAACGTACCCCTACAGTGTCAGGATGGGTGATCTGGGGTCTTGGGCTGGTGCAGATGCCTCCGGAGCCCCTGGCTCCTCTTCTCCCTCCCTCTTGCTGTGCAGGCTCCTGGGATTAAGCGAGGATGGGAGTCCCTGTTTGAGGGGCTTGACCCACTTTTCTTGCTGCAACTTGAAAACCAGTAACAAACCTTTACTTTTTAATTATTTTTATTTTTATTTATTTATTTGACAGAGCGCGACAGAGGGAGGGAACACGGCAAGGGGGAGGGGCAGAGGGAGAAGCAGGCTTCCCGAGAAGCAGAGTCCGATGCGGGGCTCCATCCCAGGACCCTGGGATCATGACCTGAGCCGAAGGCAGTTGCTTAACGACTGAGCCACCCAGGCGCCCCTAAACCTTTCTTTTTAAACTAATGTTCCTTTTAGGTTATAAATTGCACTCAGGAATAATTTAAAAAGTGTGACAGAAGGAAAAATATTTCCTCTAGTAAGTGAAGTTTCTCATAAGTGGCAGCAGCAGCCACCGTGGAAGTTCAGACTGAAAACCTGACCAGCTGGAGACTACCGCCTCCTTCAGTCCCTCCCCCTCCCACCCCGCCTCATTGTAGGGCTTGGAGGGAACACATTGTACTCCGTTGGCACTGTACCATGTTCAGGAACACAAGTAATCCTGTTTGGGGATTATAGCACGAGAAAATTTGATAGTGGAAAAAGACTACTTTTAAGGAAGGGGGTGAAATTGGGACTTTTATCTTGAAAAATAAGTCAGGTCCAGAAAGTAAGCTTATTTATGAAAATTTGAATTGTAATGGAAAAATAAGTACTGAGTATTAGAGTGAACAAAGAATGTGTCAAGTGTTAATTGTTTTTGACATGTATTCATACTAAATTTTACATAATAACGTGATTGGATATCTTAATTTGTAATGCAGTTGTAATGAAGGACATTTTTGTAAACTATTAAAGAGTTTTATTATTTTCCCCATTAGTCACCGATAATCAAATAATTATTCTTGAGACACTTAGCATATTATTGTTCTCGTTGATTTTTCTCATCAGTTACTAACCTTCCTAACTCCTCCTGTGGCCTCATTTCTCAGGCGCTGTCCTCATTTGGGGTTCTAATATTTCATTAGTATCTTACACTAACTTTGTCAAATGTTGCATCTTGTGTTGCCTTTTTTTCAGTTTTCACTTTGTTCTGGATTTGCATTCTGTTTGAATTGTTGTTGGGACTGTATGAGCATCAGTGAGACAGAGAGAAAGAAAGGGGTTGATGGGTGGACATAGAGGCTCGGGATAACCAGGGACAGTTTGAATGGTCAGTTCATTAATGATTGTTTTTGTTAGCACAACTTTTGCTTTTCTGTGTGTTCTTGTAGCAGACGACTTGAATAACGAAGGCTGGGATAACAAGGACTCCTTTTTTAGGTTGGACCATCTTCATGGTGTTGGCCAGTTAATCACCAACCTCCCTAGAGGTCTCGGAGCGCTTGCTTTACTCCTACCCCTTTATGAAGGGTCTCGGCTGTGTCTGTCTTTGAATTTTGAGACAGGAACTCAGTACTTGGTCCCAGATGGCAATATCAGGGATTGATACTTGAGCCAGAAAACCTTCTGCAGGCCCAGTGTTTTGCATTTAAATGGGAGCCCCTTAAAGATATTTGCAGGCTTAGGTTGGAGACACCAAGAGAGAAGACCTGTAGCATGCATCCTTCGGTAGTAGAATCTGTGAACATGTGAAAGAGAGAGGAGAAGCGGTTAATTGGTAGTGACAGGAGAAGTGGAATTAGGGTCACAGAGGTGTTGAATCACCAGAATGGTGAAGCATTAAGGTGGAGAGCAATCCTTCTGAGCACTTGGTAACAGGAGCTCTGAGTATCAAGAGCTGCCCTTCCTTTTGAACAAGATTCTCACTGTGAGGCCTATGGAGGCATTTTTCTGTTCTTAACTTCTAGATGTTTTCTGGCAGTATTATCCTATCACCTGAGGTAAACTGAGCACATACCTGTTTCTTGCAGCCTGAAATGGCTCCAAATATATATAAAGCATTAATTTAAAAAAAAAAATCCTCCTTATTTATGTATACCCAAAATAAAATCAGCTTTGTGAATGATTATGTAAAGAATTTGGCAAGAGGAAGGAAGTTTAGTAAATCTGTTGGAATAACACCCATGGAAAAAGGATGTAGGTGTAAGAATTGAGGTAGAACTGTCTGCCCAGTTATGTCTTATTTAATTTCCATGTCCTAAAAGACAGCGTCCCATGTGAGCTCATGTTTGGTGTGTAGTGCTGTAAAGGACGTGGGAGCATGTCATCTCCACGGCATCCCTGTGTTAGTCTCATGCTGCCGCTGCTCTTAGGATCCAGGTGGATTCAGGGCTGCCCACTTTCCCTCCCAAGCTTATCTGATCTGTGAAGCGCATCCTTTATTGAACTTTGTTTTAATAGTACTTAGCAGTAACTGCTCTTCCTGGTCTGGATTCTTAGGGATGGCCTCAGCTCTGGATTCAGGGCCCTGCGTGTTCCATGAGTCTCCAGACTCATGTTATTAAGTGGAAAATGAAATATTAGAGATAGTAGGCCATTAACCGAAGAATTAAAAATATTCATCTTTACAAGGAATTTGAGTATCTTTTAAAGTGTTGGTATGAGAATAAAAGGTTTTTGTGAGGAAGGTCTATGGGTTGGATAGAGGAGAATGAGTGGGAGATCCTGGTGAATTGGTTTTTCCTTTTTGGTGTGTAAAGAGATGCATAACAAGAGTATGATGTCATAGACTGACCAGTTGTAATCAAGAAAGCCGACTAATAGTGATGATTTTAATTGATTGGAGATATGAGAAAGTAGAATTTAGAGCTGATTTTACTTTATTTTTTTTTTAAAGATTTTAGAGAGAGAGCAAGAGAAAGCACAAGTGGGGAGGAGAGGGAGAAGCAGGCTCCCCGCTGAGCAGGGAGCCCAATGCAGGGTTCTATCCCAGGACCCCGGGATCATGACCTGAGCCGAAGGTAGACAGATGCTCAACGGCCTGAGCCACCCACGCATCCCGAAGCTGATTTTAAAGAAAGCTGAATGTTCTGCTTGGGTTGCTAGTCCTTGGTAATTTAGCTGTAGCTCTCAGAGATGGTAGTCTTTTGGAGAAGGTGAAGAGTGTTCTTGCTACCAGTTGTTTACCTTTTTAACTCTCCAGTTTCTTCTTCATAAATTCAGATGGTTCAGCTAGGTGATGATCTCTGAGGATTCTTCTAACTCTGCAGTTGTTTGAACCTCTAGTCAGAGGTACTGTATCTGGAAATGTATATTTAAGAATAAGGAAACTAGGGCGCCTGGGTGGCTCAGTTGGTTAGGCGACTGCCTTCGGCTCAGGTCATGATCCTGGAGTCCCGGGATTGAGCCCCGCATCGGGCTCCCTGCTCGGCAGGGAGTCTGCTTCTCCCTCGGACCCTCCCCCCTCTCATGTGCTCTCTCTCTCTCTCCCAAATAAATAAATAAATAAAAATCTTTAAAAAAAAAAGGATAAGGAAACTAATTTAGGTAGATTGTAACTTTGACCAGAATAGGCTAAGAAAACCATCAGAGACTCAATAAGTAAGTGTGGATTGAAGTGAAATGTCAGTTCCCCTTCCCTAAGGAAGCTGTGGTCTCAGGGCTGTCAGACAAGTAGTGTATGTATCTTAGTAATTCTCTAGTGCAAGTGTCTGTGATCTGCAGAGGGGCAGAGGAGGTGAAGTGTATTCTTTCTGGGACGCTGTCAGAGGGGAGGTAGCGCTTGGGCTGAGATTAGAAAAGGGAGTTGGGTGTGCAAGGGAAGCAAACTGGGCACTGGAATCCCAGGGAAGGAAACTGCGTAAGAAAAGACTTGGCTGTGTGAGAAAGCATGGTGTGTTTGGGGAAGCGCAGAGTAGCGCTCAGTTGTCCTAGAACATAAAATAGATTGAAAAGGGTGAGTGGTGGTAATGATACTCCAGATGAGACAGGGGTGCTGGTCTGGGATCCTTCAGAAATTCCTGGCTCAGAAGGGCAATGCTGCTGCTGTTCAGGGAGACCCTGGTCTGAGAAATTGATGAGGTTATCAGCCTTAGATGCTGCGTTCAAGGCATGTCGGGACCATGTACATAGGCGAAGATGTCTGCTGGGGGTGGAAGGATGTATAGTTCTGGGTTGCAGGAGAGAATATTGGGCTCGAAATTCATGTTTAGTCATCATCAGTGTCCTTTGGTTGTGGATGTCAAGGGAATAGATGGAAGAGTCAGTGAGTGAAAAGAGGGTCATACAAGAGAAGTATGACTAACATGTAAGGTCTGTGTGAAAAAAGATGATACAGCAAAGCACCTAGAGTTAGGAGGAGAATCATAAGAACAGAAAAGGATTAGAAAAACAAGAAACTTCTGTTGTCCCGTAATGTTATTTAGAAATTAAAACAAAATTATGACAAAAAATATCAACCATAATTTTGAATACGCTTATTCCAACTACATAGGAACCACTTGTTCGTTTTCTTTGTGAAATAAAGAAGTGTGGCCTTAGTACTCATTGGCCTGAATGAATAAATGGAGACTGTGGATGGTTGAATAAATATGTATTTACGGGGTTGTAAGATTGCTGCTTTGGAAGAACTGAGGAGTGGTGGTGAAGAGAGTAGTTTAGAATTGTGGGGGTGGGGGTATAAGGTTTTAAAATGTAACTATAAAAGCAGACTGGATCTCTACATCAATTCATAGACTGAAATACCTTCTAAAAGGGTCCACGATTTACAGGCTAAATAAAATTATAAAGTGTATTAGAAGAAAATGGGGTGATTTAAAAAATTTGCTGTGGGGAAATCTAAATGTAACAGGAAGACCATCATTCATTAAGGAAAAGATTGGTGGACTTAATTGCAAAAAATAAAATAAAATAAAGTATAGGGTCCTACATACTGTGAATGAAACAGAAGGACAACCAGCTGATTTGTAGTGTGTAAGAGAGCATCCTAAGTGTGGTCATGGTAGAGGACTCAAGTGATCAGAGGTTCAGGAGGCTGAGGTCCTTAGCCAAGGGTTTTTGGAATTCCTGTCTGTCAACATGAATATCACATGGCAGGGATTGTGGTGGAATGGCTTCTAGAGTTCTTAATGAATGTGGGGAGTAATCAGACCATGGCTGGTACTGGTAAGGAGGAGTGGGTAGTAGAATAGATGGGGTACACGGGCCTCAGAGTATACAATATTAATGTCGTATTTATGAACATTCCTAAACGTTTTAGTCCTTCGGGAGCTAGAAACAAATCTGAGGGTTTGAAGAAAATGTGAAAATGATGGTAGAAACCTGTCCATGTATTATTGGACACCATTTTGGTTTGGAGCTCTCAAAGCTTTAACTTTTTGTTTCTAATGTTTATATACTTCCTAAGAGCTGTGCAGTTTAAACTTGGGGTCTTTTTTTTTTTTAAAGATTTTATTTATTTATTTGAGAGAAAGTGAATGAGAGATAATGTGAAGGTGAGGGAGAGGGACAAGCGCTGAGCACAGAGCCTGACACTGGGTTTGATCGCACAACCCTGAGACCATGACCCAACCCAAGTTGAAACCAAGAGTCAGATGCTTAACTGAGCCACCCAGACGCCCTTAAACTTGGGGTCTTTCAGCTTACGTGCACAGATAATCTATACACCGAAGTGCGAATTTTTTGTCTTTTTGAAATGAACAATTACCACAATGAAGTGTAACCTCATTTCTGACTTGGCTAGTTGATAAACTTGAGAATAACTCTTTATATGGGGAGGCCGAGATACAGATTAAAGTTAAACTTCCATATATAATCAAACTATAGTGATAAAAAGGTATATGTTGAGCTTGATAGTAAGAGGGAGAAGGTGGATCAAAACTGGAAAAGCTGTTTAAGACAGGACAGACCTACTGTACCTCATTAATTCATTCGGCAAATATTTGTTGAGGATTACTGTCCTTTGGCAGTAGATACAGAGGGCTGACTAGTGTCTGGCACGACCCTACATCTGCATGACTGTCATGGAATACTGTATTTTGTTAAATCATCACAACGGTCCTTTACGAGCCATTATTATCCCCATTTTATAGGAGAGGAGATAGAGGCTTTTAGAAAAGTCTAATTTCCCAAAGGTCATGTGGCTATTAAAAATGTTGGAGGAGCCTGCCTTCAAATCCATGGCTGCAGGCGGCCAAGCCTGAGCTTCTAAACACTGCACTCTTTTGAAACCTGCAGGAGGGGCATTACTGAGCATTCACTATGGCACCTGGTGCCAGATTCTGTTAATCCACGCAGGAGTCCTCAAGGTAAGTTGCATTATCATCATCTCCATTTAACCACTGTGCGGTGTGCTCTCCCCGGTGGTTAGGTAGTTTGGCTATAGCCTGTGGCAGATTCTGTTCTCTCATCAGATGTTTGTGCCAGTTTCATATAGTGCCCATTGGATGAAGTCGGGAGCTTAAACAATTTGGAAAATCCCTTATTTTAACAACATTGAAAGGCTATTTCTGAACAGGTCCACCGTATTTTTAGGCCACTAATTTTTATTCCCTTTTCCTTTTTTATCTTTTCATATTCGTTTGATTTCTGTAATCAAGATTCTTAAAAATTAAGATTTGTTTTACCCCTAAAAAAACAACCCCGAAACTATTGAGGTCTACTTTGAAATCCTGAGATTGCCTATAGTAGTATTTCAGTGGCCAGGTGTTTTATTTTTGGTATGTGAACTTTTTATTATGCATAGGAAGAACATTTACGAATAGGAAAACAGCTTTGCATGTGAAATAGTCTGGGTAATGGGACCATGTCAGTTTTACTCACATAAAATTATGTGCTTTTAGGTTAGTCGTTGGTATTTTTAAAGGAAATGTGTTAGTTCCCCCCCCCTTTTATTTTTACCTCTCCTTCCCTTTTAGTCTGTTATCTTTTTTCCCCCAAATACGTATCAGCAATTCTCTTTTAATTAAATTGAGTTGGCGCTTCCATTTCTGTTGCAGATGGCATTGTCAGTCCTTTCCTAAAAGGACAAGTATATTATCTGCTCGGTAACTGGGTGTTGCTGTTCACTTGTGCTGTACTGTGAAGGAGGAGGGGAGAATTAAGGTGTAAAATCCAAGTCTTTTTCTAAAGGAGTTAGGGACTAGGTATTAAACAGCTTCTTCAATTAGAGACAACTGAGAAATCATAACAAAGGTTTAAAAATTTCAATCTATAAATTGGGGTTCTGGTTTAATATTTCATTCTTAAGTGACAAAAATGATTCACTGAGCCATATTTTTTAGGGCTGGTGAAATGCAAGTAGCCAAGGGTTGCACATCTGTTCCTTTCAGCTCATACCTTTATTACCCAGGCTTCTCAGATGATCTAGGGTATCGAATGCAGTGGTGAGCATTTCTTGTTTGTATTTTAATTTGCTGCATTTGAAATCTTCTGGTAGAGCCCTGCTAGTTCTACCTTAAAAAAGAAAACACCCCTCTGCTTCAAAGAAATGGTACTTCCTGCTTTCATAAACAGTCATGTGCATAGTTTAGCAAGGCCTGGTGCCTCTGGAGCTTTTTCCCTTTATAGCACCATCGAATCCCAGTCCTAACAGAAGTACTGCGAATCTTGTGGCCTCTTTTTGAACAAAAGGGATCAGAGAGGAAAAATCTGTTGATATAAAGCTTGAAAGCAAGGGCAGGCAATCTTGGTTGTGAATATTTTCTGATTTTTCCAGAAATCAAGCAGAAGATTGAGCTGCTGATGTCAGTTAACTCTGAGAAGTCGTCCTCTTCAGAAAGGTACAGCTACATCTCTTGCATGAACAATTAATGGTGTAGCATTGCTAAGAAACAAACCGACGTATTTTTTTTCTTGTCAAGTTTGCTGTATAATGCATTGTACTGCATGCTGGTCATTGTGCTGTATTGAAGATGTGTTTTTGGGCAGGCTGTTCTGCTTTTACAAAGGGTAATTGATTTTTTAAAAAATAGTGAAGCCGAATCAGCTGCAGCACGCACACCGTAGCCCAGCAGAGCGCTAGTTCATGTGTGACAGCTGTTGAAGGCTCTAAAAAATAATTTACTGAGCTGCAAAACAAAAATTGTGCTTTCTTCAAGGAAATATTAGTATTAGATTTTCTTCCTGTGTTTTGAGGCTGTTGCTACAAAATTACCAACATTATTTGTAAGATCTGGGTTAAAAATACTTGGCTTTTGGTTGTCATAAATATTTTCTTACGTGGAAAGGGAGTGCCATTTGTAAATAGCTCAGGAATTGCAAACCCACAGATTAGTCACATTCTGAAAGAGAGATATGATGCTCCTTCAAGTCTGTGCTAGGGAATGGAACAGTCGCTGCATGCAGTAATGGTTCGTGCCTGCAGGTAAGCACAAAATGACTCAGAAGTGTTTTTAAAGCAATTATTTTATCTGTCAATCAAATGATTATACCTGTAAGGAGGTATTTCCTTAAAGGGCTATTTTACTTAATAAATGGAATTAAGATATTTTTATCCCAAGCCAGAAATGAGGCTACATAGTTGCCCATTTTGATACGTAAATATTGTGTTCACTTCTGTTTGCCAAAATTGTATATACTACATAATGTTTTTAAATTGAGGTTCTTGGGCATACAGTTGATGCTTACCTTTCTCTTGGTTACCTTATAGTTTATACTTTATGTTGATATTTTGTTTTGAAGGTGTGTTGATTTGTCTCGCCTGTGGCTAGTTTTCAGGTTATCTTTTTCACAGATTTAATATTTAGGAAAATATTATGGAGACATGATTTAGTAGTTGAGGAATGATAGAGGAAAAGCACTGGGAAAAAAATGAGGTGAAGAACTTACCCTGGTAAAAAGGATTTATTTAATTCAAGTACACTAGTGTATGGAGGACGTGATCTGATGGCAAAATGATGACATTAAATCGATTTATTAGTGTAATTAGGTGAAAGGCTCCTGGCTGTAATTTAGAGCATTACAAATAAGACGTTAACTACTTTCTTTAGAAACTGAAAATAGAAGAATTTATTCACATTTGTGTTTATTTCTATGTAGTTTCTAACTCCCAGTTTGTGGCTAGCCGTCCGATTTTGAACACTCTTGTTTGCTGAGATGAAAAACAGTCTAGACCCTTGTGAGTTGTTCTGCCAGTAAAATGGTGGTGATGGGAAGGGGAGAGGGTGGTGGTGTAAATTAGTGAGTGGTCCGGGGGCCAACTGTAATGTTGGAGTTTGGTTACCAGGAAGAGCATTCTCAGTGGGATGGCGGCAATAATTATGTCAGCTCTTTTGAGTAGAATGAATTCTCTATTGATAAATTGAAGGTTGGACAGAATGGATGAATATTAGCGAGAAACAAGTTAGGAATGAGTGAGGTTTCTGTGGTTAAAATATTTTCTTCTAAGGAAAGATTCTAAAATATTTTGGTGATAACATTTATTTATTGTTGTTTATTTTTTAAATCTTTTTACCTAAGCTCTTGTAGTTAAATTTGATGGAAAGGGAGGTTGCATGTGGTCATGGTTTTAAAGTTTAGAAATCAGCCACTATGCTGTGACAGCTTTATACAGTTTTAACAGAGCTTGCTTGCTTTGTTTGTTATTCTTTTGGGGGTGCTTAGACATATATATGGCTTTTGTGATATGCTGACTTCATGGGTGATAAATGTAGTTTATGGGTCAGCCAACACTTTGCAAACACAGAAGTTGATTCATTAATGTGTATATATTAAAAATAGAAATTACTCCTTTTTTCTTCTCTTTTTTTAAAGGCATACACTAATGAATAGTCAAATCTTTTGTCTTTTTAATGTGTTTGAAAAAACTTGAGAAACAAGAATATGAAGTTAAAAAAAAATTCATGGCCTAGTAATGCTATGTCCTGCCCATGAATGTAATAGTTTATAGGATCATGTAACATTACATCACATCCTTCAATTCCTCGTTCACCAGTTACTTATATTTTTAAAGTCTTAGGTTTTGTTTTTTTTTTAATTTAACTTTTTGAGTGTTTGAGTCATGGCCTTAAGTCTTAAAGCCATTTGGAATTTACATATGATCAATATTTCTTTTTTTTTTTGTAAAAATGATAAATCCCATCTTTTTAAAAAAATTTTTTTAATTAACATATAATATATTATATGTTTCAGGGGTACAGGTCTGTGATTCAGCAGTGTTACACAATTCACAGCGCTCACCATAACACCTACCCTCCCCAATGTCCCATCACCCAGCCACCCCATCCCTCCCACCCCCCACCACTCCAGCAACCCTCAGTTTGTTTCCTGAGATTAAGAATCTCTTATGGTTTGTCCCCCTCTCTGGTTTTGTTTTGAGAAATCCTGTTTTCTTTAAAAGAAGGGAGAAGCTACTTGTTTGCAAGAAACCAAAACTTACCATTTTCCGCAATTGATTTTGTTCACTGTCTGCAGCATAGAACGATCTTTTGATATTTCAGGCCATCCAGTGGAGAAGCAGCATTGCTAAGTACAAAATATAATAAATATAAACAGTGATGTGATATTCCTAATAATTCTTCCGTCTCATATTTTTAACTGAAGGCTTCATGGGAATTGCTAGTCCTGTGTGACAGCTAGTGTTGGCTGAATTAATTCTTACTCAGTTTTGGGAAATGGGAGAAACAAAACAAAAAATAATCCTAATTCACTTTTGTAGACTTAGGATCCTTCATTAAGAAATAAATCTGATTTGAAGCAATATACGGAATTTTGAAGGTTGTTTTGGAGCCTAAATTAGAAAATATGTTTTCTTAACAGATCCCAGTAACACCTTGAAATTTAAGGTTATATTTTTACCTTTAACAGAATAGTGGAGGCCCATTGAATGTTATTTTATTTTGTTTTGTTTTTAAGATTTTATTTATTTATTTGACAGAGAGGGACACAGCGAGAGAGGGAACACAAGCAGGGGGAGTGGGAGAGGGAGAAGCAGGCTTCCTGTGGAGCAGGGAGTCCGATGTGGGGCTCGATCCCAGGACCCCGGGATCATGACCTGAGTTGAAGGCAGACGCTTAACGACTGAACCACCCAGGTGCCTCCTGTTGAATGTTATTTTGTAGGGGAGGTATGGAGTCCCGTTCAGAAAGGCTGACTAATAGGATGAAATGCAGCGGGGTGACAGAAGGTTATAGTTCTATTTTTTGGTTTTATACTCTGGAGAAAGGGGAAAATGTTAATTTTTAAATTAAAGACAGAGAACATATTGAATGAATTAAAAACAACAACAACAACAAACCACATGATACCTGATTTGTATGTTATTGCCAGTTGAGAGGAACACATTATCAGTTGCAAGGGGGCCCCCTTCTGCAGATTTTAGGAGCAAATCTTACTATGAGTATCTGCTCTTTAATTGCTGCCTGTTGAATGAATGAATGTATTCATCTTAAATATGGTAGTGAGAGGACCAGTCGCAGGTTTACTTTCTTACCTACCCCCATTTAATGAAAAAAAGAAAGTTGTGAACATTTATTTGATATAAAAACTAGGTTTTCAAGGTTTTGTTTCTTCTTGACTTTTCTTAGCCATGACACGTCTGGGATTTGGAAACTTATGGGGTGCAGTGGGTGGGGAAAAAGGTAGTAATCATTTATTAAACAGTTCCAAATACGAGTTCTAAGTGAGGAGGGGAGGGGAGGAGGGAGGGTGGCATGGGAGGAGAGAAGGGGGGAGGCAAGGATTTCCTGTGGGGAGGACTCTGACACACCATCCCCTAAAGATCCTCAGTGAGCAGAAGGAACTTTGCTCTATTAAAATTTTTGTCAAACTCTACGCTAACTTCTTCAGTGAACTCATGAACAAAATTGGACAATTCTTAATCAGTAAAGAAGAGTTGAGTCCAGGGTGCTCAGAGTGAGGATTCCCATTCTTTACATGCGGACTCCTGGGAGGGCTGAGGAGTTTGTGAGCTGAAGGCCCTAAAGAGCTGGGGACCTGAATTCACACAAAGCTTTGCGCACATCTGCTCTTGTGAAATGTAAATGTTGTTGTTGTGGTTAATAAAGGTCACAGTCAGTGAAGTTACCCAGATAGCAGTGCCTACTAGGTTTGCATTTTCTCAGGGACCAGATACCAAAAGGATCATTTCGTGTGTGTGTGTGTGTGTGTGTGTGTGTGTGTGTGTGTGTGTGTGTG